AATTCACATCTACACAGAACCTCAGGGATCAGGGTCTTTGCAGAATAATCCAGCTAAGATGTAGTCAGAAAGGATTAGGGCGGGCCCTGATATAGTGACTACTCTCCTTCAAGACTCCATGTGTCACCCTGAAACAGAGTCAGGGAGAAGGCTTCATGATGACAGATACAGAGAAGTGGAAATGATGGAGCTACAAACCAAACAATGCCGACAACCACTGGAAACCAAAAAGAGAAAGTAAGAATTGTACTGCCTTCATTCTGACCCTGAACTTCTAATCTCCAGTCATGAAGGGATGCATTTTTGTCATCTCCAACCTCAGCTCAAGGTACTTCATCATTGACAGAAGGAGTCCAAGGTTACTGCGTGTGGTAGGAGGCAGAAGGGAAAGGGTAAGATTTCCAGGGGACTAATGGCATCTCTTCTTATTTTTTTAATCCTTTTTTTCTTTTTATTTATTATTTACAATTTATTCATTTTATATCTCAATTGTAGCCCCCCTCCCTCAATTCCTCCCAGTACCACCCTCCCTCCCTCTTGCTCCCCATCCCCTTCCCTTAATCCACTGAAAGGGGGAGATCTTCTCCCCTGCTATCTGACCCTACTAATCAAGTCTTATCAGGACTGCCTGGATCTTCTTCCTCTGTGGCCTGGCAAAGCCGCATTGCCAGGGGGAAGTGATCAAAGAGCAGGCAACAGAGGTCATGACAGAGGCAACCCCTGCTCCCCTTGAGATCCTACATGGAAACTGAGCTGCCTATGATCAGGGGGTCTAGGTCCTCTCCACACATGGTCCTTGGTTGGTGCATCAGTCTCTGCAGGGGCTCCTGGGGTGATATTTTAGCTATGTTTGTTTCCTTGTGGAGCTCCTGTCCTCTCTGTGTCCTTCTAACCCTCCTTTTCCATAAGACTCCCTGCTCTCTGCCCAAAGTTTGACTGTGAGTCTCAGAACCTGCTTCGGTCCCCTGCTGGGTGAGCCTTTCAGAGGACCTCTATGGTAGGCTCCCATCTTGTTATCTCTCTTCCACCGGTTCTGGTGTCTATCCTGTTTGCTAATGGCATCTCTTCTAATCTCTGCACAGTGCAGCAAAAAAGAACACCTAGCTGCTTCAAGGAAAAAGTGGAAGACAGGGGGAATTGTTGTCTTGAGAACTTTTCTGTTGTAGGCATGGGCAAACCAGGAAATGCTTTGATATGATGTAGGAAGGACATTTGTTAGGAATCTCAATCCTTCCCCTCTCAAAAAATAGAGATAATTATGGGGTTAAAAAGATTCACTAAAATCTGAAAAGCTATAAAGCCATATCTATAAATGGACTCTGAAGTGAGACTGGCGGTCTCAGATGCTAGCAGAATTCACACTGGAAGTTTATGAGGGAGGGTACGACTTCAGAGAGCCCAGACAGTCTCATCCTGCCACTGAACAGAGAACATATTAATTCGGTTTGGCCACCTGGGGCCCATTTAGTGCACTAGAGCAGTAATTTGCTAAACGGGTCCCTCGGAGTAAAGTAGAATGAGTAAACACTGAGCAATTTAGGATGGTAAACCACTAGTAGCTCAAGGGACTTACAAATGTGAAGCTATAATTAGATCCCTTGTTCATAATGTACAAACTAAATGTATTGCATAGTATATTGTGTCTTTCTGAGTTTATTTCTGGACACAGCTGAGCCCTTACCAGTTCAGAGAGGAACTATCCCAGCTACCAATTCATGCTTCCATTAAAATTCCAACTGCTTATATTAGAAAACAATTTCAAATATGCTTTCTTTTATCTTAGATCGAAGGATCTACCCAGGATTAACCTAGGAGCAGAGCACAGCAAGTCACTTATAAATCATGCAGCAGAAAGTAATAGATTATGTTCTCTCTGTCTAAATTTAGCTGTGAAAATATTTTAGCAAGTTGACATCAGGCTTTACAATGTTTCACTTCAGGATTATCTTTGAACATTTTAAGATGTGATTCTAAGGGGCTGGCGAGATGGTTCAGCAGGTAAAGGCACTAAGTTGAAACCCTGAGTTCAATTCCTGGGCCCCAGGTGGTAGATGATTACTGACACCTGTGGTTTGTCCTGACTTTTGTATGCCCACCAGGGCACAGATGTACATGAACATAACACACACACACACACACACACACACACACACACACACACACACAAAGGGTGAGAAAAGGGAGGGGGATTAAAAGAAAGATGCCATCCTTTGTGCTTGCCTAGCATTTAGGAGGACCTGGTGCCACAAGAAAGTGATTGCTGAGAGGATGTGGCTAGACAGAAACATTGTGGATTGCAATCGTGGAATGCTTCAATGGGCAGGGCAATCATTGTGTGATGTGCTTTGGGGTCAGGATGATGCGTTCCCTACCCCAGCTATTTGGAAGCTGCCTGGAAAAGCTTTTATTATTTTAAAATCAGAACTCTTTTCTTGTTCACAGCCACTGTATAGTGTGGGTTGGTGCAGGGTGTCTGCATGTTAGTCCGTGATACAGAAGCCTCCGTGCTCACGTTCCTTTGCTCTTTACCAATTTGCTGTTTCAACCACAGGTGTCTCTCCTATCTGGCATTATGAGGACAGTCTTCTCTTTCAGAAATTCTCATTTTCTTTCTTTCCTTCTGTATCTGCTTAGTCACATTATGAAGGCTTAGGATCATGCTGTGGACCTTTCTTGCCATTATGTTAACCCTGCCAGTGGGATTCCCCGACAGTATGAGATAGGCTGTCTTTCAGATTACAGCTTCTATGCATGAAGTTTGGCAAAACTGCAATTCTTTATGCCTGCTTTAAAGAATCTTGAAAATTGTGTTTATTAGGTACATGGGTGTTTTGCCTGCATGTGTGTCTGTGTACCACGTGCACACGAGGCCCCACAGAGGCTAGACTGAGCATTGGATTCCCCGGAATTACAGATGCTTGGGAAATACCATGTGAGTGCTGGAACTTGAACCCAGGTCTTTTTCCTTTTAACGGCCGAGCCATTTCTCCAGCTTCAACACTTGCTGCTCTTTTGCGCTTGTGTGGCATATCCACTTTTTCTTTGAGATAGTTACTTTTGCCATTGCTGTTACAAGCACCTAACACCAGGCTCTCAAGTACCTGAATGAGGGTGTGTTCTGGCTCACAGTTTGAGGGTAGAGGACTTCATGCCAGGACGGCATGACGGCAGGAGACCCCTGGGCATGTTGTGCCACTTTTCAGGCCACATTCTTCTTTTTATTCCATTTATTCCATACGTGGTGCTGCCCACTTTCAGCTTAGGTCTGAAAACACCCTCACAGACATAGCCAAACTGTTTCCATGGTGATTGTAAATCTAAGCAAATTGGATTTAACTAACTGCTTGAGTTAATGCATTGCTCTAACAGTTATCTGGCAACAATTACTATAATTTTTTTTTTTTTTTTTTTTGAGACAGGTGTCACTATGTAGACCAGGCTGGTCTCAAACCCACAGAGATTTCCCATTCTCTGCCTCTTCAGTGCCAGGGTTAAGGGCACTATCACCAGGGCATGTGTGTGTATAATATTACTATAATAAATATTAGTTTCTAAACTCAAAGGGTAAAGCGTAGGATATTATTATCTTTTTATTTTGGGGGGGGGATAGAGTCTCACTATGCAGCCTCAGCTGGCCTGGAGCTTGCAATGTAGAACAGGTTAGTTTTGAACTCATAAAGTTCTGCCTGTCTCAGCCTTCCAAGTGCCAGAAAGTACTTAATCTTTTAAAAAGACTTATTGCTATGTAGAGAAGTGATTTGTCTGAAGTATATCTGTGCATCACATGGGCGCACTGCCTTTGGGCTGAGCTATTAACGGGTTCTCTGCAAGCTATTATATGGCCCATGCTTTTAGGTGCTGAGTCATCTCTCTAACCCCCGAAATAAGACTAAAAAAAAAAAAAAAAAGAATATAGGAAATAATTTTTAGGAACTTCAAGAATCATTGAAAAATTATTTTTGTCCTGGCTGCTTTCTCCATCCCTCTTCAATGAGACGTGTAGATAACCTAAAAACAAGGTGCCTTTATAGGAGTTTCAGTTCTCTCATTCTCCTCGGCCAAAGTTTCCTGAAATTAAGGCAGGTCCTAGAGAGTATGCAATTAAAAGACTTAAAAGTGACTATCTAGTCTATCTCCTATACCCCTATGTCTCCATTCTAATATTTCTTCCCTGATCTACTGCTTTGTCATTAATCTCCTTTTACATTTAAAACCAATGGTATACAAGACTAGAATCAAATCCTTGGCTATTTTGTTCTAATTGGGTAGAAAGAAGATGGGCTTAATTTGGGTGGTTTTTGCGAAGTGTGTTCAATGCTGCAAGTCTTCATGGGCCTTGAAAAAAATTCAGAAATAGATCTGGCCAGAGATCTTGTAGACTGTGTATTTGTGTATCACACATGCAGTTTAGAGTCCCCGAAAGCCCTAACTCTCCATTAGCCGGGAAATTAAAACTCATCTGGCGAACGGGCGAGAAACTAGTTAACGAAAAACGTTCACGCAAAGCAGGGCTCAACAGCAGAGGGCACACTACCCACTGACTGGGGCCAGAAGCTGGCGGTGAGGGTGGGTAGAGCCTGACGGTATCTGGGTCTTGTAGTTTGCTGTTGGTCTCTCCTGAATGCTCGCCTCGGAGCTGAACTACAACCCCCACAGTGCAACGGGTCCCCCTCTCGCCACCTCGGGTCTGGGTCGGAGGAGAAACCTCCTGGGAAACAGCCCCGCCCCACCCCCGTACGCACGCGTCACGTTTGTTTACCCTGAGGCCCCGCCCCCAGCCTCCCGCTCTCCCCACTCCGCCCAGGAATGTCGTCATGCTAGCGATGCATATTCATGAGAAACTCCGCCCCGCCCGCCTTCCCGCGCCGCATTAATATTCATGAACTGAGCTCGGGCCGCAGCTCTCCGGAGCTGAGGCTGTCCGGCGGCGGGCGGGGCCTGGCGCTGGGGAGCCCGGGGCCCGCGGGGAGGGCGTGTGTGTGTGTGTGTGTGTTGGGGGGGCGGTGGCGGCGAAACGGGCGGGCGCGCGGGATGGAACACCGAGGCACCGACGGAATGCTCCGGATCGCCACATAATCCCCTGGAACGGCCGCGCCGAACGCCATCGGCGCGTCCGTTCTCCGCGCGCCGCCGCCGTCTCCCACCTTCGCCTCGCCTCCCTCTCCGCCGCTGCCTCCCGAGCCGGGGGGGTGGGGGCGACGCGAAGCCCCGCTGCGATGGAGCCCGCCGCCGCAGCCCCGGCACAGCGACTCGCCGAGCCCGCGGCTGACGACCGAGCCCCGGCGGCGGCGGCCGAGGGCGGCCGGAGCCCGGATCCCGCGCCGAGCGCCGCGGCCGCGAGCGGCGGGAACGGCGGCGCGGCTGGAG